GTATTTCCCAACTTACAAACTTTATTTATAACCTAAAAAAGGCATACATAAAAGTAGGTGAAACAGGATATGTAAATAAAAATAAACAATAATAAATGAATATGTTCTGAAAGTTTAGGTATGAGACCAAGCACTGGAGGTTACAGCAACCAAAGCCTTAAAAAATGAAAGGATTTAGCAAAGTGAGGAGACATGGCAAGGCAATCTAGAGAAAAGGTAGCAATTAAGAAAGTTATGAAGCTGAAATAAGGCATAGCTTGTAAGAAAAAAAGCAAAGAGTAAGCTTAAGCATTAGAATTTGATCATTGGCTAATAGAGGAGTTGAGAACAAAGAGGCAGTGCTTCCTTAGTGTTCTCCAGGTCCATATCCACGTGGCAGTGCTTGTCATGTATTGTTGATCTGCCCTCATCTCTCCTGCTATGGGAAGAACTCCAACTGAGCAGGACAGCAATTTGCAGAGTTTCACACACATAATTTGCCTTAGTAAATGAGTATTCAGTTCCCTGAAAAGCTTACTTTGGCACTAGAGTTCTACAACACCTTTCCTGATACTTTCTTTTTAACTAATTCCCCTCATGCCATTGTCTTTACAGGCTTAGGTTTCCTTGTCCACAAAATGAGGAAAAAAAAAAAATCCAGTACTGTGACAGACATTCTGGTTATACATGGTATAGTGTAAAGCAATACATGTCTTAGAACTCTAGGTTGTTCATAAAGACTCCTAGGTACTGTAGGACCTCAATTTGTCAGGCAAATGGAGACAGCATCATTCTTGGACATGTTTTCCTCTGATTGTTGTGTTTTTTTTCTAATTTGGTTAGTACCATATCAATAATTTTCCATTATACTATAATTTTACCCTAGCATGCAGATGTTTTTCTTCAATATAATACTTCATGCCTATTTCATTTATGAATTGTTTTGTGATCATCATGGGCAGAAAAAATATCTTCCTCCACAAACTTATGACTTTTCTCCTTTACCAGCTTGTAAACATACCCAGATGTGTCTTCCTCTTACCCCTCTGAAGGCAGAAACTATCTTTGAGCATCAATGGTGCCTAGCAGAATGCCTTGGACATAATAGGTACTTGATAAATATTTGTCAAATAAATTATCATTATATTATTACTGGAACAGAAATTAGAAGAAAGAAATAAACAATAGTACATACATAATGTATATAGTAATGAAAAGTCTTGCTATGTTTTACTACGTAAATGTATTTTTGGAACATCTAATTAGATTAATTACCTTTCCCTCATTATTAATGTGTACAAAGAAGTCAAGTCTTAATGTTGAAAATATTGAAGCTGTCCATTCAATAAAGCATCATTCTGACAATCTTTTCCCAGAAGCCTGAGAGTTTAGAAAAAGCAGATAAAGTGCTCTCTTAGCATACAGGCAGAGCAACATAAATTAGAGCGTGGGTAATAATGTAACAAACTGAAGAAAGTTCCTGTTTTTCACTACACTAATTTTAAGAATTTATGGCAAAGAAATCACAGTACCCATCATGAACTGAATTCATTTAAAAACAAAGTTTATCTGTAAAAATAACTCTAAATAAGTAAAGAGAAATGTTTAGTATTATCATTCTAGGTTGTTAAAGCCAAGAAAAAGGAAAAAGAGGATGGAGTTAATGGAACCCACAGGCTACTGATGTGGCAGTTTATCAAATGTAGCTGTAATGAAAGATAAATAATACAGGCAATTCACACTTCATGAAAGGATAAAAGTGTCAGTGTGTAGGTACCAGTTTTACTGCAGGCCATAATCAGCAAGTAAACGAAAGTGCAATGTCTAAAAAGTTTATAGCCTTCTACGAAGGCCTCGTCTTGTCAGGTATTGATTTAAGTATTCAGACGACTTCACTGGTATTAAACAAATCGAGTGTTTGTGAACTTAGAGGACATGTTCTATTTCTCCCAACAAAAGTTGCCTCAAGCTTAATGCTAAGTTGCTTCCATCGCTTAAATTTAATGCAAGGGAAGAAAATGCTGAAATGATATCTTACACAATTATTTTCTTCTTAAACAGAGGGCAATCCAAAGTGAATGTTTCATATTCTCCACCTTCTCCACAAACATGGACTCCATACTTCTTAGAAAGCTGAAAACAGGAAAAAACAAAACAGGAAAAGGAAACAAAATTAAACAGCAAAAAAAATTCACATATATTATTTTGTTCTGAAATATTCACACAAGAAACTTTAATTCTAAAATAGTTTGTTTAAGCTACAGGAAAATAATTACATTTCTGTTTAAAAATTATTAGAAATCCTAATGTTATTATAAGGCACAGGATTTCTAATAATTTCAAAATTCTTAGCAAAAAAGAGTGTGAGAGACCAACATTTCTGTGTTTAATAACAAAACTTAAAGACTACTATAAATTTTAGGAATGATACTGGCTGTGGATTCAAAGGGAGGCTAAGTCATTATGTAGTAAATAAGAATACATGCAGCAAACTGGGCTACTCCTACCTTTGATCTTTATGTGGAAAGGAAAAATACGTTGTAATTAGAGAATTTCTCAGGCACACAGAGACAGCAATCTAAGGCCTTCTCTTAGGCCTATGAATAGAAAGAAGTCACATAAATGGTTATGTTTTAGGACTTTTTATTAGTAAAGTTCCAAGGGTCCTGAGAAGTTGTGAAGTTCCAAAGCTGTAGGTAAGCTTTAAAAAGATCTAACTCTAAGATAGGTTGGGTAAGCTTATAAAATTGTTTTTTAAAAAAATGAAATTAAAAAAAAAAAGTATCCAAATGGGGAAAAAACCCTATTGATCTGCATTAATTATAATCCATACTATTTAGATGATCCTGATATTGAGAGTGAAAAGAATTTAATTGGCTGACACCTGGCTGGCATCAGGGCTGAAAAGCATTCTCACCAGCTGTGTCATAGATGTTCATGTGTCGAGACTTTATCACTGTGATTTTATCTCCTTCATTCTGAAGGTTATAGCTTTCCCTGCTTACGGCATCTCTTAGGCCAAACTCCTAGTCCTCACAGACCAACGAACAGTGATATGTTTGCTGTTCTGTCACTGTCAGTGCTGGGAATGTGGCCTAAGTCTTCAGTTTTACCTGCATAGTTGTGCATTTATTTATTTGGTGAATTTTGTGGTTGCAAGACCATTCTGAATCCATTAAATTTCAACTATTGATTATGTGCTCGTAGGGATTTAGAACATGGACCTATGTGAATTCTACTTCTCCCTCCAAAGATCAGTAGTAATGGATCAGTGAAGGACCAGTAAATGTCACTGTAAAGCCAGATGGCAAGAAAAGTGAAGGCAAGAAAATAGGGAGTGGAGCTTAGAACAAAGTAGATAAAATCTTCACCACCTGGGTCATAAGGTAGACATGATGCAGGCCCAATTATGAGTTGACTCTAATCAAAGCAGAGAACAGGAATAGACCACTTTACCATATTAAGCCAAATTAAGTTATTGTCTACTTTTCAATAAATCAGGGATAATTAAAGGATATTGATTTCAGGGGTTTCTCTGTTCTGCCTTTTTACTGTTTCCTGATCACCTGTTCCAACAACTTTCCACCAAGTGAATCTTCTAATAACACCTTTATGATTATGGCCAGTCTCTTCATGTGGGAGAACCTATCTTATCAATTATTAGCATCCTTTTATTAGAAAATATTTTATTGAAGCTCTGCATAATTTCTGAAAACCACCACCAAAAGAAAAACTAAATTTTTTATTAAATTCAGCATGGCTGTTATCCTACAAAAGTGATTCTACTAGTCCATAGTAAAAAAATAATGTAGGCTGCTATATTAAACCAAACTATTTGTATTTAAAAATTTTTGGATTAATGTAAGAGTTAAAGTTAGGTGAAGTCTGAGCTGTCACCATGTCGTGTACCTAGGAGGTGTGCCATATACGTCTGTTAGTGGGAGCTTATTGAGCCCACCCCCTTTTCTTGAGTTTGTGTTTTGCTCTCATGTGGGGCACACAGTTCATCTACTAGTTTCAAAATTGTAGCAAGTACATGGGATGCTTGCTTTTCCATTTTTGAGATGTTTTACTAAGGAGAATGTTCTTCAAATTTGTCCATGTAAATACAAAACATTTAAAGTCCTCATCTTTGTTTGAAGCCGAATAGTATTCCATGGTAGACCACAGCTTATTAATTCATTCATGGGTTGATGGGCACTTGGGTTGTTCCTACATCTTTGCAGTCATGAATTGAGCTGCTATAAATATTTGAGTGTAAATGTCCTTAGGAAAATGATTTTTTTTTTCCCCTATGGGTAGATACCTAGTAATGGAATTGCAGGATCAAATGGAAGGTCTACTTTTAGCTCCTTGAAGATTCTTTATAATTAGTGAAAGAGTGTTCTCTCTGCACCCACGCCAGCATCTGCAGCTTTAGGACTTTGTGAGCTGTTCTCACTGGATTCGATAGTATTTCAAGGTGGTTTTGATTTGCATTGCTCTGATGATTATGAGCAACAAGCATTTTTTCACATTTGTTGGCAATTCATCTGTCTTCATGGGACAAGGTTCTGTTCGTGTCAGGAGTAGACAATCAGGGCTCCCTCATTTATTTGGCACAGGACCTTGGAGAAATTGCTTAGCTTCTGAATATCAGTTTCCCTATGTAATACCTACTCTTATGAGAGTGTTGCATTAAATGAGATGACACATATAAACCTATTCAGCAATGGAATGTATTTGTTTATCTAAACAAATCTAAGCATAGAAAAGATACAGCAAAGACACATCATAATAGATAAAAAATGGTATACCTGTAAAGGGTACTAATCATGAATGGAGCTTCCAGACTGAAAACTGCTCTGGATAATTCAGAGTGAGTGAATGAGTGAGTCAGAGTAAGTGGTGAGTGAATGTGAAGGCCTAGGACATTATCATACACTACTGTATGCTTTACAAACACTGTAAAATTAGGCTACACTAAATTTATTAAAAAATTTTTATTTGACTAGTAAGTTAACTTTAGCTTACTGTAACATTTTTACTTTAAAAACTTTTAATTTGGCCAGGTGGTGGCTCAAGCATATAAGTCCAGCACTCTGGGAGGCTGAGGTGGGTAGACTGCCTGAGCTTAGGGGTTTGAGGCCAGCCTGGGCAAGAGTGAGACCCCGTCTCTAAAAATAGCTGGGAGTTGTGGTTGGTGCCTGTAGTCCCACCTACTTGGGAGGCTGAGGCAAGAGAATGGCTTGAGCCAAGAGTTTGAGGTTGCTGGGAGCGATGATGCCAGGGAATCTACTGTGGGTGACAAAGTAAGACTCTGTCTCCAAAAAAGAAACAAAACTTTTAACTTTTTAAATCTTTTTGACTCTTATAATAACACTTAAAACAGTATACTATTGAACAAAAGTATTTTCTTTCTTTACATCCTTATTCTATAATGCTGTTTTTATTTAAAAATTTCTTTTTAATCTTTTTAAAGCTTTTTGTTAAAAACGCAGACACCAACACCCATGTAGCCTAGGCAAACATGGGGTCAGGCTCATCAACATCACTGTCTTCTGCTTCTGCATCTTGTCCTACTGGAGCACCTTGTCCTACAGGAAGAATAACACATCCGGGCTGTCATCTATGATGACAGTGCTGATAACAAGGCCTTCTGGAATACCTCATGAAGAACCTACCTGAGGCTGTTTTACAGTTAATTTTTTTCTTTTATAAATAGACTACACTCTAATATGATTATAAAATGGAGAGTATACTAAGTACTAAGTGAGAGGAATTTCTGAGCTCCATTATAATCTCACGGGACTACAGTCACATATGCAGTCCGACCTTGACTGAAATGTCATTATGCATGACTGTAAAAGGGAAGGGAAAGTTACTGACTTCTTTTTCTCTACCCTCAGCCACTGGATAGGTAAAAATCCTCTAATTTTTGAGATTTAAAACATTAAACTAAAGTCACACCTGATAGCCAATGTTTTTCTGTATCGCATTAGCCATCGAATCAGTGATACCTCTACTCAATAAAAAGTCTCCTAATTTTAACTTTCCCCTTTTCCAGATGTAAAACTAGATTGACTTGCAAAGATAGTGCCAATGGCTGAGGCCAAAAAGGTGTGCACCAGATTTGGATAAACTGAAAAAGAAACAAAGGGCCGAAGGTAGCTGTGACATGTCCTTTATCCAATTTGTAGTGGCCGGACATCAGACACAGGGACATCCGCCTTCATTCTACTTGTGGGGGCTGGTGAGCTAACATACGATGCTTCTGTGCCCCCCAGGTGGACAGCCTTGGGGCCTTACAGAGTAGCCAGAACAACACTGGCTCCAAATTAAACACTAATGATGATTACTTAGGAACACATGGCACATGCTGGCTTATTCAAAACCCAGCTGTTATTCAAAACAGTTAGGTACCTCCTGGCTGGCCTTCAGGCCTGGCACTTTATGGCCCCCAGGTGAGAAAGCCTAATGTAACTCATCTTCTCCACAGTTATGCATCTTAGAACTAAACAAACTCAGGATTTATAGCCAGGTCCTGGCTCTCTACAATATGCTAATAAATAACAAACCTAAGTTTTTAGCCTGAACATTTCAATTGTGCTCCAATCTCCTTGGTTGAAAACATGCCTTTGGTTTCTATGTTACGATCTAAAATTCAGTATGTGTAATACCAAAAATAAGTCCTTTCAAACTCTCCAATCATACTGTATGGACTAATCTTCCGTTCTTCTTTTCTAGCTTCTGGTAATTTGGTGCCAATTTCTTTTTCAAACTTCCTCCAAAATCTTCAGTTTTGTTCTCTCTCGATTCCTACTGTCAGTGGCTACATCACCCCAATTCCTGACACCTGTTTCCTATAACAGCATCCCAGGCCTCTTTTCATTTCCACCTCCTAATCCATGAATAGTGCTGCCAGATTCAATTTCCTGAGCTTTCTTTTAGTAATTTGTTTCTACTGAGGAACTTTCAAAATCTTATTATTTCTTACCTCAATTTGCCTGGCTTCTGTCAGGCTCTTGATTAGGTCCTACATTTCCACCTCACTTGCTTCATACTCTTCTACCCACAGCACAGTTTCATTCAAGTTCCTTGTCCTTGCATGCCTTCTTGCCAAGGGATCTTTATTCATATTGATTCACTTTGCT